TGCAGGCACTGCTAGACGACAATCCACTGACAACTAAAGGGACCCAGTTGTGACATGAGCCTTTGCCAGAGTATTCAAGTGGATGGGAGTCGAACCCTTAAGGACTCGCAATAGAAGGCAAATAGTCAGACTCTGTTTGAAGCAACAGTGGTGGTAGATAGAGGTAAGATAGAGAAATAGGTAAGAAAGAAAGTGTAGTAGAGGGGGTGGGTACAGGGTAAGAGTTGGGGGAGGAGGGGCTCTCTGAACAGCTGGGTCGTCAAATAGAATGGGACCTTGGGACCCGATGTCGTAGCGCTTAGGAGCTAATTTCTTCACCGTGCAACGACCCTTGAAAAGAGTCTGGTTCTCGTAACCTCCTGAGAGCCTTTTCTTCTGTAAGGACGCTGTATTTCTGCCTCTCTTTATATAGTATTATATGTTATATTTATTGTTTATATTTATACTTTGTTTACTGTTTTTTGCCATTTGTTTTTGCACATGGACATATATTTTACAGTAAGACGAAGATTGTGTTCAAGATACTACAAAAGCTCTTAGGGTGACCAAAACCTGGAAAACAGAATGAGGAGCAAGTCCTTAAACATCTGAGCTTTGACGGTCTTCTGTGTCCCCTAGTCTTTGTCCACCATGAGCCGGCTGGTGGCCAAACTCCCCAAACTGACCCACCTGGACATCAGCAGAAACGGCTACAGCTCCATGCCCCCCGCCTGCTCCTGGCCCGCCACCCTGCGCTTCGTCAACATCTCCAGGGCTAAACTCACCAGCATCACCCCCTGTCTGCCCACATCTCTGGAGGTAAACACAGGGATGTTGCTTTGTGACCTTAACCCTGTAATGCCAAATGTATCATATTTGATACATACGGTTTCTGAAATGTTTTACGTCTGATTCCTTTTGCATAATTTAATGGTAAAAACTTTGCTCCAAATCCTATTGTACACAATCAGATACACCTGATAACAGGGGGCAGAAGACTACACAAAAAATAATCTTGACTTATCGCATAGTAATAAATTATTAATATTAAAAAACTATTTCAGTTTTTTCTTTTTACATAATTTGTTAAAAGGCCAAATAAGGAATTCAAAGCAAAAAAAAGTAATTTTCTGTTTTGTTTTATTCTTGGATCAGGCTTTAAAGGGTTCATTTTGCACCCTTGAAAGGTTTTCGGTAAATTGGAGAAAAAGCGTGTAGTTGTAAATCGTGACCCTAATTTGATTAAAGAAAGCTAATTAGATCAAATTTATTAAATAAATTAAATTAAATACAAAGTTAATATGCATCCATCCATTCATCCATTATCGTTACCGCTTATTCCCTAATGGGGTCGCGGGGAGAACTGGAGATCGGGGTCACCCTGGACAGTCCGCCAGTCCATCACAGGGTACAGAATGAATAAATAAAGTTAACTGAAATAATTTTATTGATTGAATCGAATTAGTTAATTGATGAAGTTAATTAAATAAAAATAACTCTGGAACAAGCTCCCTTTGGATATTTTCTTAACTTCAGACCAGAGAATAAATGAAAATATTCTCTTCTAGACAGGCTTTTCTTACCATGTAGTGGACAGGAAATTTTCTTATTTATTTATTTATTTATTTATTTATTTATTTATTTATTTATTGGCTTGTTTGCTTGTTTCTTTATGTTTTTTTTTTTTGGTGATGTAACTTTTTAATTCCACTTGTTGTGATTTACTTTTACTGTAAAGTGTTTATGTTTGTGTTTATGTTTATGCATTTGGCAGAAACATAAACATAAACACTTTACAGTAAAAGTAAATGTGCTTCGGTCGCCTTAGATGGTTGTTGTTACATAAATAATAAACCGATAATAAATCAACCGATCGATCCACCAGGTCTTGGATCTGAGCAGAAACGACCTCAGCAGCTTCTCTCTGGCCCTCCCCGCCCTGAGGGAGCTCCACCTGTCTGGGAACAAGTTCCTGAGGCTGCCCTCCGGACGGCTGTTCCCAAACCTGCGGACTCTGAGCATCCAGGTGAGCGGAGGGGGTGTAGAGTCTGGGCTCAGTTTGTTTGTTTTATTTATTTATTTATTTAATCAGGACAGTGCACATTAACGAACAAACTCATACAGATTGTAAATTAGCCAGATTCTAGCATAGTTGCTGGTTTACATCTGTGGTCCTGAGGCAGGAAGATCAAACAACACAAAATCACAAAATACAAAATGAGTCCAAACACACGTTCAGACAATGACATTACAAAATTAAAACTAATTCAATTCAATTCAATTTCATTTATATAGCGCCACATCACAACAACAGTTGTCTCACAGCGCTTTCCAAACAGAGCAGGTCAGACCCTACTCTGAAGTTAACTACAGAAACCCAACAATTCCCACCATGAGCAAGCACTAGGCGACACAGGCAAGGAAAAACTTCCTTTTAACAGGCAGAAAGCAGTGGTTGCTGCGTGACCCCCGCTGTCTCCTGTCGTGGATGTCTTCTCAACGACGTGTGAATCATTCCAAGTCTTTCAAAAATGCTAAGTTCTTGAAGAAGAAGTTGAAAAATCTCAAAGAGTGGTCAAAAAGAAGCAGAGGCAGCTGGGTCACGGTCCAGAGTGGTTTATTGCAGCAAACACAAGTCAACCACATGAGCTGTTAGCCGGGCTAACACCTAACTCCCTTGAGAATGTGGTCTGCTTTTATATCTTTTCTGAATCTTGGGGCTCCTCCCCGAGCCCCTCCTCTCATCACGTACTTTCAGGTACTTTTCCCACCGTTATCTCCAATATTTTCCATCCTACCGGTGGATAACTCCCTAGACTTCACGTTTTTTTTTTAAAGTGGATGATTTATTCCCATACGCCACTTATCCCCCTCTCCTGGTAACTGCTCGTAATTTTCTAAGTGGGACATCCTGGCCAAGGTGGGACATCCTGGCCAACTTGGTTCCCATACATTATATGTTTACTTTTTCTCATGAGAATCTTTGTATGCTACAGTTTTTATTTAGCCTTTTGTTACTGTGTACATTTCCCATGCATTCTCATTGTCTCTGTAATGGTTGGACCCTTGAACAATGGTTTCTTCCTTTTTTATATCCCAGATACATATTAATCTATTTCCCTGCTTAGATATATGTTAATCTCCTTCTTTTAGATATATGGATATATTACTGCGCTT